TGGCTGATTGAGACTGGGTCTGTTGTTGTTGGCTGATTGAGACTGGGTCTGTTGTTGTTGTCTGATTGAGACTGGGTCTGTTGTTGCTGCCTGAAAGTAATAAACGAGTTCTTTAAAGAAAGAAACCCTGCGAGAGTGTTGGAAGGCAAACCATAAACAAAAACAAAAGTGTAAAACTTAAAAATTCCGCTTCCCTGTGGACTGCCGTGATGTTATTTAAGGAATTTTTTTGTTAATCGGTTGCACATTATTGAGAACAAGTTTAGCAACTTCATGGAGCTTTTGAACTTACGAGTCCATTTTACTTACATATTGTCGAGGATTGTCGAGTGTTGCAGCGGCTAAGACTGTTACATAAGTACAAAAGGGAGTCCAAATACGACCGAAAAATAAGTTGAGGAAGGTATAGACGAATTGAACACTGATATGAATGGGGAATGGGAAAGCAGATATTTAGTATAATATTACAAGTATGACTGTTACGGCTCCACAAAATTTTGGTAGGTATTTTGCGACCATGGTCTATCATGCAAAGACAGTTCAGTAGCCAATCAGAATGCTGAATTTATGATAGCACATTGTTTGCTGTAAAAAGTCTTTATCTTGGTATAATTTTCGATGCAAAAGTAATACAAATTATAAGTTAGGAAAAAACACGATTAAACATTCAGAGAATGTAATCTACATAAATTCATAGGGGGCTTTCCATTTAGGCAGAACTCAGTGGCCGGCCAGTCCACTCTATTTAGAGCTATATAATGCTTTTTGTCAACATTTTTCAGTCCTTTCGAGGTTTTCTGTAGAATAATGGATAGAATTTGAAAATTTGAATTTCCTAACTAAATGGGAATGATATATAATGACATTTTCTCTGGGTCTGGCCAGCCAGTTCTGACAAATGGAAAGTGCACATAGACGCGATGGGAAACTTGACTTCAAACCACGATCTTTAGTAACCGCGGCTGAACCAGCTTTTTGTTAACGCCCGACCGACGGCATGAATAGGTGCACGGAACCTACAAGGAAAAAGAATTATAGATATTAGCATAAAACTTTCCTTTGAAGGCTGATTGTAATGATGATATATAATATTTGATTTCTTACAAGATGGAGGTGGAGAGCTCCATGTTCCATTGTCCAGACAAACACTAGTTGCGCTTCCGATCATCTGGTAACCCTTTTGACATTTGAATACTATATGAGCTGTATAGGAATATCCATTATTTGCAACCATACTGCCATCTACTGGTGTCTTGGGTCTGCCACAGGACTTCCCTAGTCAGGAAGAGGAAAGAATGCATATTGACGTCATAGCATGCTTACAGTGGGGGGAGGGGTAGTGGTGAGGAGATTTGATTTGGTCAAATTGTGGCAGGCGTCATAAACGAAAGAAAACAAGCAATCCCAGACCGGTGACTAGTCTCAGTAAGTCTAGCATTGAACAATGATTCGTCCTGTAAACTAAAAAAAGCTAAAACTATATCCAGCTATCGTATTTACATCAAGCTGTAGTTGTAAGCTTGGTTTGGAAATTATTGTTATTTATTGTTAGCAGTTGGTTGTTGGATTTCGTTGGCTTGTTAGCTGGGATCCGATGGTTAATTGTTTGGTTTATAAGTGGTTGATTGTATGGTTGGTTGGTTGGTTGGTTGGTTGGTTGTTCGTTCGTTTAGCTAGGTATGTTTTGTAGGGTTGGCTGCCATTCATAGCCACTCATATCCAGTCCCTTACCTTGACATGTGGGCGAGCCAATGATATCAAAGTTCTCTTTGCAATCGAACTGTACAGCCATATTATCCAAAAACGAAATTCCCGTACGGTAACCATTCTTTTGAATACCAGGATCAGGGCATTGAGCTAAAATATACAATATTTCAATAGTCAGCAACACTTTTACTCTAATGAATATGAATCAAACTAATCTTTGACAGATTGTTATCAATTCACGTTCAGCTAAAAGCACCTGATGTAGAAGGTTCAGTAGTGTTGTTATTTTAGTAACAATACGACAAATGTACAATAAATATTATCTTGATTTGATTTAATAAACTGATAATTAACTGACTTTATTATATATCAAGTGTCAAAGTTCACTTTTCCTAGTATCTTATTGGTCGAGAGTGTACCACGTGAAAGTCACAAAATTTTACTGTTTCCCGGCAACTGTCCACCAGCGGTCAATAATATGTTGTGGACCGTCAATAAGTACAAAATCGCAGAAAAACACTCTTCAGTGTCGTGAAAATGCCACATTTACGGACGGTGAATTCCAAAATTGTTTTGAAACATTTAATTTCGTCTACAAATAGTTATTGTATTCATTTTGTTATTACATTGATTGATTTTAGTGACATTTGACTATTTGTATTGCCATTTTTCAGTCATTTTATCAAAATCTTTAATAAAAACACTTCATTTATTTACGTTTTTGCTCTCTTTGACACTTGATATGATAATAAAGCACTTATTTACTGGAAACCTCGGGAAACAGTATGTTTTGCGGTCCCTCGACCGCTGATGTTTCCCTCAGCTTCGCTTCGGGAAACATCAGCGGTCTCGGGACCACAAAACATACTGTTTCCCTCGGTTCCAGTAAATAAGTGTTAA